ACCACCCTGTTCAAACCTGTGTTCTTCAGGGGTCAACTATTATTTTATTTTATTATCAGTCTCACACCCCTCCCCTCCATACTACACTCCACAAGGGTAGTTCTTATTTAGTACTGTAGAAGGATGTGATACAGAGCAGGTGGCAAATAAATATTTAGTATATTAACTGAGATGACAGGTCTGACTTTACTCACATTAAATGTAAGTAAACTGCATACCTTACATGCCACTAAATTAGGGGAATAATTTCACGGTTCGAACATCATAGAGTGCACTTACACACACCTAGATGGTGTAGCCTACTACACATCTAGGCTGTTTGCTAGACCTCCATCACATATGTGGGTCCTTGACCAAATTGTTGATTCGGCACGTGACTGTACTTGCCACTCAGAGATTAGCCATGGAGATCACTTAGCCTGTAAGGAACTCTAGGTCTAGCTGCAGTGGCCGTGTTGTTGTAGAATCACTGCTAATACTCAGAGAAAATTGGCCAGCTTAGTCCCTGTGAGCAAGCATTATAACTCCTCCATACCTGTTTCCTCATCTATAATATTCAAATAAGAGTAGTATGTGCCTCATAGGTGATGTAAAGCCCCTGGAACAGTGTCTGTTCCATAGAAATTCTTTGAGTGTTAGTTACATCACTACTCCCCATTTTCTCCCTTCCCTGCCTGCCCCCTCGGACAGGATGAAGAAGGCCCCCTGTGTTGCCCCCACCCTGGCTGCTCCCTAAGGGCCCACATGACCTGCCTGGCAGACGAGTTCCTGCAGGAGGAGCCCGGGCAGCTTCTGCCCCTAGAGGGCCGATGCCCTGGGTAAGTCCAGCATCACTCCCCCAGCCTGGTTTACCTCTGTGAAGACACTGCCTAGGCCCAGGGCATCTGAGTCCTCATCTGGCACCCAGGGCCTAGGCTGAAGGAGGCTTGTGATCTGACTCTCTGTCTCCTACCAACTGCACCCTTGGCAGCTGCAAGAACTCACTGCTGTGGGGAGACCTGATCCGGCTGTGCCGGATGGGCTCCGAGGAGGAAGAGGAGAACTTGGAATTAGAAGAGGTGAGAGGTGTTTTGGACCCTGCCCCAGCCTATCCCCTGGGCTGCCTCTGACCACCCTTCTTGTCTCCACAGGAACACTGGACAGACATGCTAGAGATCTGACCCTCGGCACCCCTAGCCCTCTACCCATTCCTTATCCGTGCCACTGCCTTCGGGTCTCGGCAATTTTTACTTGAGTACAATAAAAAGTCTGAGTTAAGGGCATCTTCTGGTATTTGCTGGGGTATGTGTGGAGGTAGGAGGAAAAGGCCCTGCCAGTTGCTGGGGCCTGAGGAGATCAGAGGACGGGGGAGGGGCCACTGACCCCAGATGGACCAGCCTCTCTCTGCTGGAGGCCCTTCTGCCTCAGCTTTCCCCTGGCCTGCCTCTGAGATCACAGTTCCTTTTGATTTTTAAAAAAATACATTTCTATTGATTTCACAGAAAGAA